AATAAACAGATCTTAATCGTGCACACACCCCCCCCCCCCCCTTTTAAAAAAAGCTGTTTCCCATGCGGACCCTCCTTCGTCGGAAAAATAGCGTTACCCATATAATAGTGACGTCATCTATAGGAGTTGCATTGAAGCAGGCACGGGACAGTAGCTACAGGGATGTCTTTACAGAGTGGTTGGTTGGATGGTTTGTTGTTTTACGCCGCACTCGGCATTATTCAAGCCATATGACGGCGGTCTGTAAATAATTAAGTCTGGACCAGACAATCCAGTGATTGACATCGTGAGCATCAATCTACCGAATTGGGATCGATGACATGCTTCAACCACGTCAGCGTGCCTAACCACCCGATCCCGTTAGTCGCCTCTTACGACAAGCACAGTCGCCTTTTACAGCAAGCATGGGTTGCTGAAGACCTATTCTACCCTGGGTCCTCACGGGTCCAGCTTTTACGGCAAGCATGGGTTGCTGAAGACCTAGTCTACCCTGGGTCCTCACGGGTCCAGCTTTTACGGCAAGCATGGTTTGCTGAAGACCTAGTCTACCCCGGATCTTCACGGGTCCACCTTTTATGACAAGCATGGGTTGCTGAAGACCTATTCTACGCCGGATCTTCACGGGCCCACCTTTTACGACAAGCATGGGTTGCTGAAGACCTATTCTACCCCGGATCTTCACGGGTCCACCTTTTACGGCAAGCATGGGTTGATGAAGACCTATTCTACCCCGGATCTTCACGGGTCCACCTTTTACGGCATGCATGGGTTGCTGAAGACCTATTCTACGCCGGATCTTCACGGGTCTACAGTGATAGGTACAGGCTAGTGAGTACTAGAATACCAAACATATTCACTTACCGAAAGGAACACGACCAATACAACCAATACTCTCAACCTTCAACTCTATAAAAAAAAAAAGCATTATATACCCCAGCTCTAAAATCTCAAACACCATTCATAACTCATCTGTGCAAATAGTTCCCAGAGAACGAGAGAGTGTCTGAGTGATTGTTGTTTTACGTCGGTCAGACATTTTGAAACAATTCACGGCAGCTTTTTCAGTCTCAGCAAATGCTGACAAACCAGTACTTGAATTGTTTGAGAGTCATTACTTAGAAGCTGACGGGTGACAAAGAAGACACAAAGTATGGATAACAACTTCTTTAATTACTGACGTGTTGGTATAGATCCTTATACCGTTGTCGCCGGAGACCCGAGTTCGATTCACGACATGGGTACAATGTGTGAAGCCCATTTCTGGTGTCCCCCGCCGTGATATTGCTGGAATATTGCTAAAAGCAGCGTAAAACCATACTCACTCACTTACACCGCTGTCAAGCAAGGCTATACACCGGTATATGGATCTTTACCGAAGCGTCGCCTTTAACGTTAATTAAAGGATTTTTTTTCCATATAATGTGTCTACTTTGAAACCACCACTTATTGTAAAATGGCCTTGGATCAGCCAGACACACACTGTAACTGCTGTAGTAGAGTCGGATGCTATTATTAGTACTATGTTCTACCCGTAATGACTACGTTTATTTTAAGCATTGCCCCCAAATGGCATCTGAACATGCTTCGTGATAAAAAAAACCGTACTGATCCTTCCCCCTCCTTCTGTTATGACTGTCCTGTTTAGCTGCGGCGTAAATGGGGCAACGGCTCGTTCGCTAGGGAAATATCATGCTCTTGGTGAGCTGACTATCTGGTCTGTGCTCCCTCTCAGAGCACACTCTCCCAACGGCTCGTTCGCTAGGGAAATATCATGCTCTTGGTGAGCTGACTATCTGGTCTGTGCTCCCTCTCAGAGCACACTCTCCCAACGGCTCGTTCGCTAGGGAAATATCATGCTCTTGGTGAGCTGACTATGCGGTCTGTGCTCCCTCTCAGAGGCCTCCAAGGCCATTTTACAATAAGTGGTGGTTTCAAAGGGAAATATCATGCTCTTGGTGAGCTGACTATGTGGTCTGTGCTCCCTCTCAGAGCACCCCCCCCCCCCCCCCCCCCTTTATCCTCTCTCTCAATACTGTAGGGCAGATAGAACAAGGACGATATCAATCCTTGCAGTGAGAGCACTCTGTGGCCACTTATGTGTATTGGAGACCCGCATACGCTTGAAGTTTATGTTTCATAAAATTGTTTCTGTTCGCTGGACTAGGTACATCGGGACTGAATATGACGTTAGCGACAATCTGTGACCAAACAGAATATTATAAGGTATTCAATATCACAGGCCGAGGACATTTGCGCAAATGTAGGTAATTAAGATACGTGTTCCCCAGCGATAACATTCAGGTCACTATACAGTGCATGGAGCAAGCAGACGTCGGTATTGCACAATACCTACCTCTCGTATAAAGTCACATCCACTTCAGCTCGTTCAGTCTATCCACTGTTACGTACACACCAAGGTAGGTATTTGGTCATGTGCTGAACACATCCTACGTGTCTTGAATAGCCACCATTGATTTGTTGGGTTTAGAAACTAAAGCTGTCAAGTAATGAATGAATGCTGTTCGATAAAAGTAAGAACAGTAAAGCTGTTTGCCTATTGCTGATGCTGTGTACATGTCGTCGGGTGTGATTTCGTTTGTCTGCCATTCCGTTTCGGTTCGACAGTTGTATGCACCCGGTTCCTACTTTTTTATGTCACCACGTGCTGTCCGTGTGCGTGTGTTGACAAACTGCCTTGCCTTGCCTATGACTATGATGATGAACAAACAGCCATTAAATGGTCTGAATAACTGCCGAGGACTTCTTCGTCTTCTTTTCATGGTCCCGCGAGCCGGATATGTAAGTACAGTGCCTAATTATGAACTTTGACAGTGATGACAATGATATTCCCGGTGAAACACGGTCGCGCTCGCAAGACGGACACCCCGTCCGGTTTTCGTCCAGGCGCAGACGACGGGTGCAGGCTAAAACGGCACCTCAGCAAAACGTCACCGATTTCTCTGGCGAAAACGGCACCGCATTTGGCCTTATTTGTCAGATTATGTAGTTGGCATGAATCATGGACTTGATGAAATAATGACCACACGATCGGAAATAAGTGTGGGAAGTGCACGTTCTACTAGTTCTTCCGTTTTGTCAAGACTAAGTGATAAGCAAACTGCTGAACTTGAGACAGTAAAACGTAAACATGAACTTGATGAACTTAAGAAGCAGTTAGAAGAAGATAGAGATATAGCTGTTCACATTAAGCATATGGAGGATCACAGGAGTCCGTATCTAAAAATAGACGCCCTCATGCATATTCATGACCATCTCCACACGCGCTTCGGGCTCGCGTGTGGAGATGGTCATGAATATGCATGAGGGCGTCTATTTTTAGATACGGACTCCTGTGGGAGGATGAAGCGTCTGAAACTAGACATGAATTAGAGAGGAGTATCAAGAAAGAAAGGGAAAGTAGGATGTCACAGGTTGCCAAAGAAAGAAACTTAAGAGAAGCTGAGAATAGGTATAAAGAAGCAAAGTTAATTTCATCAATGATTGTGGCCGTGGTGATAGGATAAAGGAGCCAGTAGTCAGTGAGCCATCCTATCCCAGGGAACTTAACACTGAGGTAACATACCCAACGCAGTTTAGTGACCAAGGTGAACCAACCACTGATAGACATATCAAGCGTGAAATTGAACATACATATGTAGACGATAATCACACTCTCCGTCCAAGTGCTGATGTGTTTAGACCTTGACAGAATAAGGATTCCCATGTCAATCAATCACCTGCTATTGTACCTCAGCCCACACTTGCTTCAGATGTTCCCAGTGTTGAATTGCCAATGAATGCCATGCTGATTTCATCTGTGTGGAATTTCTAAACCTACTCTACCAGAATTCAAGAGTGGTAAGGAACGAGACTTTATCTTACAGTTCAGGGATGTGAAATCTCCGCGGAAACGCGGAAAATCGCGTTTTTAAAAACAGTAGTCCTCGGAAAAAATCATCTTCCGCGTAAAAATTTAATATTTTTGAAAAAAAAAACACTCCAAAAAATATGATCGAAAACCGGACAACAGTCGCGGATTGTCCTGTTTTCGATCAGAGCTTTCAGCAGCATAGGTTTTCGGACATCATACGTTTTCTATCACGAATACTTGCACTATAACGTGGGGTGTGGCGTCACACAGAAATTGTAAATACTCAGAGTCAGCTGCTGGCTTGTTTTTAAGATAAAGTTGTCTTTTAGCCTGTAAGTGAATGATATGTTTTACAGTTCATGTGATTGGCGAGAAAACTATGAATATTTCTTCAGCGTCCAAAACCCCATAACATTGGGATATATGTTGTATTAATGTCTTATGTTTGCAATGGAGTTTTGTTTTTTCATCAAAAGGTAAGTACAAGGTAAGTATTTTTCAATATGCTTCAACATGGGGAAAGGGTCAGACATTGCACGCTTGTGACAGTTGTCCTTGTGTCTGGGGGATGGGGGTTGAAGTTTATGGCAGTATTGCTCCCAGACCTGGCGGGTAGCCAGGTGCGCGAAAGCTATGCCCGATTTTTTAAAAGTACTGATTTAACTTCGAAATTTTACTGCATCTGTCATCTTGTTTATTTGACTTATTGACTTTTGCCATTGACTTATTACACTTCTTGGTGTGAATGTTGTTCAAACTGCACGTAAGTTACTGAAGATGGCACTTGAGACACGAGTTGATGTTCATCCTCACCTGACTGAAACTTACAAGTATCAACTATTATTGGATAAACTTGGTAATAAACCAAGACAGCTTGCTGAGGCCTTCATGTTTCACCCTACTCCTTACACAAAAGCTGTGCAGGAATTGCAACGCACATATGGTAGTGCGGGACAACTGATTCAGAGTGAGATAAGTGCCTTGCTTAACAGTCCACAAATTAGGTTTGGAGATTATGATGCCTTTGAGAACTTTGCCTTACGTAAACGGTATACAGTCGTTAGTTGGGATGTTGAAATCCATGCAGAGTGGAGCTGAACTGTATTGTGCTTCACATGTGTCAACTCTGATCACCAAGCTTCCACATGGGATGCGTGATAACTTTACAGAGTACTGTATCAAACAGGGACTGTATGATTCTGGTTCTAATGCAACATACAATTTGACCCACCTTGACCAGTGGTTACAGCTGAAATCAAGGGCCAAGAGATTATCTCATCAAGCAGTGCCAAGGAGTGACTCCATGAAGTCTGATAAGCGAATGTTTCTACGAACAGTTGTCTCTAGCCAGCAAAGTAAGGAAACAAGTTCTGCATCAACATTCTACACTCAGCAAAATGCTTCAAATGGCCGACAACAGGGTCAACAGGTCAAGGTCAAACCAAAGTACAAGGGCTACTGTCCTAAATGTTTATCAGCTGATCATTTTCTGAATACATGCCCAGAGTTTAAGAAACTTCTGATCTGGAAGTTGAATCTTGGTTGAGAGATCGATGTTTTCGATGTGCAAGAAAACATAAACCAGAGGACTGTAACCTAAAGACACCATGTCAACTATGTACCGAGGTGCATCTTACTGCCCTACATGATGCATGCAGACATATGACTGCACAGAAGGTGATGTTTTCAAAGACCTCTTCCTCATATGCACAAGTATATCTTGATCAGCCATCCAAGCCCTTTAGTACCATGTTGAAAGTTGTTGAGGTTACTTTGTACGGACAAGGCCGAAGCATGAATGCTTACGCAATCCTTGATGATGGATCTCAAAGAACCATGATTCTTGAAACTGCTGTGAAGTCTCTTGATCTTTTGGAGAAACCAGATACCATTTTGCTTTCAACAATTCGGCGTGAGCCATATCTGTGCAGTGGACAGTCTGTGAATCTTCAGGTATCTGCAAAGGATATGCCAGAAGGTGATGTTTTCAAAGACCTCTTCCTCATATGCACAAGTATATCTTGATCAGCCATCCAAGCCCTTTAGTACCATGTTGAAAGTTGTTGAGATTACTTTGTGGACAAGGCCGAAGCATGAATGCTTACGCAATCCTTGATGATGGATCTCAAAGAACCATGATTCTTGAAACTGCTGTGAAGTCTCTTGATCTTTTGGAGAAACCAGATACCATTTTGCTTTCAACAATTCGGCGTGAGCCATATCTGTGCAGTGGATAGTCTGTGAATCTTCAGGTATCTGCAGAGGATATGCCAGAAAGAAGATACAATGTGCTAAATGCCTTCACATCGAGCAACATGTCTTTATCTGAATATACATACCCAGTGGCTGAACTCCAGAAACAGTGGGCACATATCAGAGACTTACCTTTGTGCCATATTGACAATGCTAAACCAGTCATTCTGATTGGTTCAGACTTGGCTGAACTGATCGTACCTCAAGAGCCAGTTAGAAGTGGACCAAGTGGTTCTCTAATTGCTGTGCATACCAGACTGGGCTGGTCACTTCAAGGAACACACAATGTACAGCAGCAAGTTAGGACCCAAACAGTATTATTCACTGAGATGGAATCTACTAGTCTCGTGAGTGACGTTCAGGCATTGTGGAAAATGGATGTGATGCCTTATCTGAAGAAGGATGTTATAGGTCAAAGCAGGATAACCCTGCCATGCATATTCTAGAAACTGACACTCAAAGAGTGGAAGTGAATGGTGTTTACCGATATGCAACTCCATTGTTGAGATTCGATGACACAGTGTTTGAGGCTTCAAAAGAAGATATGATCCCAACACTTCAACGTATGGGTGAGTGAGTTAGTGAGTTGGGTTTAATGCCACTTTTAACAGTATTCCAGTTATACCACGGCGTGTCAGCTTAATGTGGGAGGAAAGCCCGAAGTGATGCAGGTCTCAGACATTTACCACTTCGGTGAAACCCACGAGTACGGGTATGGTGCTGACAAACCTGGAAACATAATCGGTGCGAACCAGGATTATAACCCCACAATCATAGGTTTCTGGCGTGCCCAAGGGACGCAACTCTGCACAGCGAATCGCGGCGCCTTAGACGACTGGGCCACCCATGGCTCCCTTCAACGTATGGAGCGCCGTTTACTGAATCATCCAGCAAGGGCAGAAATTCACAGTGATCTTATTCACAAGGTAGTTGATGATGGACTAGTACAAGTTATTAGTGATGAGGAAGACAGGAAGACTTCTGAGTCATGGTACATTCCTCATCATGTTGTGGAACAAAATGGTAAACACAGGGTGGTGTTTAATTGCTCTTATGAACATGATGGTAAAAATCTCAACAAGAAATTGTTACCTGGACCACAGTTGGGACCATCCCTACTTGGAGTTCTTTTGAGATTTCGACAGCATTCTGTTGCCATTGCTGGGGACATAATGGCTATGTTCCATCAAGTGCGACTTTTGCCGAGGGACAGATCACTTCTTCGTTTTCTGTGGCGTGACATGAGATGTCATGGTGAACCAGACATTTATGAATGGCAAGTACTACCATTTGGAACAACGTGCAGTCCAGTATGTGCTACTTACGCCCTACAGAGGCATGTAAAGAACCACAGGTCAGACAAAGAACATGTCAAGAGATCTGTTATGGAAGCTTTCTATGTCGACAACTGCCTGGACAGTGTGCCAACTAGTGAAGATGCTAGAACCTTGCTCCATGATATTCGGAATCTGTTGGATGATGGAGGATTTCATGTTCGACAGTGGACCAGTAATGATGCTTCTGTTGTGCAAGATGTCCCATCCGAGGACCGTTCAGATTCGTGTGAGATGTGGCTGAACAGGGGTGGAGATGATCAGTCTGAGAGAACCTTGGGTTTGTTGTGGTACATCAACACTGATGAGCTGGGTTACAAGCAGAAGCTATGAACATTACCGCTGTGAAAAGACACAGATTGAGTTAGGTAAGATATAGAACTAAAGGCTGGAAACTGGATTACATTAATCACTGCCAAGATAGCTAAGATCGCCTTGCGTGAGTGTGCCCTGGTTTTTGACCACAAAGTGAACTCTGGAAAAGTTCCATTTCCTATGTTATTTAAAACCGCGTGTGTTTATAAACACATGGTACAATACAGTCGGAATCGTACACTGTACCATGTATGTTTCTTATAATTAAAGCATGTTATCACTAAAAACTTCACTCTGTTTTCAGGATATTCTAAGCAGGGACGATGTTTGAGTGTTTAATGCAGTTGTGGCCCCAGTCTGTGGTAACCCAGGCTCTTGTTGTTGGGGCTGTGATTGGTGTGATCGCCTATAACCTCTTCAAGAAACGATACAACTTGCCGCCCGGACCCACAGGATGGCCATTAATAGGAAACCTTTTAGGTAATTGACTCTTATATTTATTTATTATCTGTTTGAATTAATCACGTAAGTCATGTATTTATCCATACCCAATGAGTGACGTGAATCATAATTTGTTTCTCAATATGTCTATTACGTTAAAGGTTTAAAGTTGGTACTTTAGAGATCTTGACGTTATTAAATTAAACACATAAATTGTTAATAATCACAATGTTATATCTTTTATTTTAATCCAATTATATAAGTTCTATCCTGCAGAGTTGATATCTTTGTTTGTATATATTTGATTGGATAATCACGTCCTTGCAAAAATAGCCAGCGAAAAATCTTACTGAAATAATCACAAATCGCAAATTGATATATGCCTCTTACTAGAATGCTGTAACTATTTACCTGTAATTCCTACCCGTAACTACCACCCTGTAATTACTACCCTGCAACTTCAATCCTGTAACTACCTGTAATCCTTACCTTATAACTACAACCCCCTAACTACCACCCTGTAATTATTACCTTGTAACTACCATCCCGTAACTACCTGCCTGTAATTATTACCTTGTAACTCCCACCCTGTAATCATTGCCTTGTAACTACCACCCTGTAATTATTACCTTGTAACTACAACCCCGTAACTACCACCCTGTAATTATTACCTTGTAACTACAACCCCGTAACTACCACCCTGTAATTATTACCTTGTAACTACCACCCTGTAATTATTACCTTGTAACAACCACCCCGTAACTACCGCCCTGTAATTATTACCTTGTAACTACCACCCTGTAATTATTACCTTGTAACTACAACCCCGTAACTACCACCCTGTAATTGTTACCTTGTAACTACAACCCCGTAACTACCATCCTGTAATTATTCCCTTCTAACTACCGTCCTGTTATTATTACCTTGTAACTACCACCCTGTAATTATTACCTTGTAACTACCGCCCTGCAATTATTACCTTGTAACTACCGCCCTGTAATTATTACCTTGTAACTACCACCCTGCAATTATTACCTTGTAACTACCACCCTGTAATTATTACCTTGTAACTACCGCCCTGCAATTATTACCTTGTAACTACCGCCCTGTAATTACTACCCTGCAACTACAACTACAACCGTGTAACCACTACCCTGTAACAAAATCCATGAACTACCACCCTGTAATTAAAACTCCGTAATTACTGCTTTGTAACAACCCTATAACTACAACCCCTAACTAAAATCCTATGATTACAAACCCCAAACCACAACCCTGTAATTACAACCCCGTAATTACTACTACCCTATACCTCCAACCCCCTAACTAAATCCTGTGATAACAAACCTCGAACTACAACCCTGCAGCTAATACCTTGTAACTCGAGTGTATGATTCTAGCCCTATAACTACTTCCGCTGACTACCACTCTGTAACTAATTCCATTAACTATACTGAACCGCAAAAGAAACGTCACCACAAGTAACATTGCATAAAAAGTTGTCATTTAAATATCTGGGAAATTTTTGTCAAAGTTGAGATGCAGAGCAGATGACAATAACACCGATCGCCCAAACGCCATGATAATTCGATGCACGTGAGTTCCGCGCAAATTGAAATGCACATGCGTTCCCCCATTTCTTGCCCTTTAAAATTCCACCAAGATCGGGTGGACAAACAGCTCGGCAAGTTGCCAATGCATTTCAAGCCAACGTAAGGACCATATATAGGCTCCAGCAACGGTACAAGACCACCAACACTACAGATGACCGACCACGTAGTGGAAGACCAAGGGTCACCACCCGACGTCAGGATCATCAGATTGCGTGACAGCATCTTCAAGATCGCTTTGTTACTGCTGCGGAAATTCCCCGACAGACCATGGGGACACACCAGCGACACGTTGGTGCGGACACAGGCCACACCAAGGACCAATTCTGACACCGTCTTCAGTGGGCAACACAGCACTACCATGGTGCTACCAGCAGTGGAAAAGAGTCCTCTTCTCAGACGAGAGCCGTTACTGTATCACAACAAAAATGTAATGCCATTTTCTCAGAGGCTAGTGTTGGTGTTTCACCCTAAGAACATTTAACACTTTAATTTCAACCTTGATGATCATTGCCAAGTTTCATCATTCAATATGTCTCAAAGTATTTTTACAGTGTTTGGACAAAAATGGTTTCTCAAATATCTATCCATGGTGACGTTTCTTTTGCGCTTCAGTATACTATAAGGGTAACGCTATTTTTCAGGGCATTATCATTTGCAGAAGCCCGAGGTCTTCCATTGAAAAGACCGAGGGCTTCTGCAAATGATAATATCCTGAAAACTAGCGTTACCGTTGTTACAGCTAAAATGGATTTGTTATCCAGTATATATAAACAACAATATCAGCTTTGAAACATTTACTGCAATCAACACACAAGAAATGTCACTGACCCACTTTTACAAATATTGAAACGTCATAGAACAAACCAGATGACGTCACTATTAAACGTGACGTCATCTATCCCTATCCCTATACCATAACCTAACAACGGGCGTGATAATGGCCCGTCGTCAAGCCATATGAGGGCATTATCAAGTGACAGTGGCCCGCTCATTTCTAATAAAATTCAGGCGGTTTTACCACCCTTTAACTACTACCCTGTATCTACCACCCTGGAAGAAATTCCCTGTGTATACCACCCCGTAACTACTGCCCTGTATCTACCACCCTGTAACTACTACCCTGTAACTACCACCCTGTAACTACTACCCTGTATCTACTACCCTGTAACTACTACCCTGTATCTACCACCCTGTAACTACTACCCTGTACTACTACCCTGTATCTACCACCCTGTAACTACTACCCTGTATCTACCACCCTGTAACTGCTACCCTGTATCTACCACCCTGTAACTACTACCCTTTATCTACCACCCTGTAACTACTACCCTGTATCTACCACCCTGGAAGAAATTCCCTGTGTATACCACCCGGTAACTACTGCCCTGTATCTACCACCCCGTAACTACTGCCCTGTATCTACCACCCTGTAACTACCACCCTGTAACTACTACCCTGCAACTGCTACCCTGTATCTACCACCCTGTAACTGCTACCCTGTAACTACTACCCTGTATCTAGCACCCTGTAACTACTACCCTGTATCTACCACCCTGGAAGAAATTCCCTGTGTACACTACCCGGTAACTACTGCCCTGTATCTACCACCCCGTAACTACTTCCCTGTATCTACCACCCTGTATCTACCACCCTGTAACTACTACCCTGTAACTACTACCCTGTATCTACCACCCGGTAACTGCTACCCTGTATCTACCACCCTGTAACTACTACCCTGTATCTACCACCCTGTAACTACTACCCTGTATCTACCACCCTGGAAGAAATTCCCTGTGTATACCACCCGGTAACTACTGCCCTGTATCTACCACCCCGTAACTACTTCCCTGTATCTACCACCCTGTATCTACCACCCTGTAACTACCACCCTGTAACTACTACCCTGTAACTACTACCCTGTATCTACCACCCTGTAACTGCTACCCTGTATCTACCACCCTGTAACTACTACCCTGTATCTACCACCCTGGAAGAAATTCCCTGTGTATACCACCCTGTAACTACTGCCCTGTATCTACCACCCCGTAACTACTGCCCTGTATCTAAAAACCGTTCACTTCTAGACTATATCAAACTACCCCTGTAATTGTCCTGTAACCATTACCCTGAAACTACTCCCCTGAACGTTCAAGCATTTTGCACCAGTTTATTATACATGTTCACAAGTTGAGATCAAATCTCGGCGAACCATGAAGATTAAATATTCACATCTAACCCCAGTGATTACATGCTTTATTTGATATCAAAACTCATTTTTTGTTAATGATATACCATGATTTAAGGAAAAAATACCCATGATAACCGACCTCGTTAATTAAGACAAATGATTTTAGTGCTAAAATACCAAAACACACTTTGCCTGTCATGTTATATCAAAATAAAGGTTATGATTTCAATTCTGACATCCTGAAGGAGAGACGCAACTCAAACAGGTTATCAAAATATTAAATAATTCATCAATTTACAATGTCTACAAATGAAGGACATGTCACTGAACTTTGTGCCATGTGCGTCCTTATGGAAGTGCAGTAATCGTGAACACGACGTTGAGCCCCATTTTACACCAATTCACATTTGGATGGTTCTTATTTTCTCCAGCCATACGAGGAGGTCTCCTGTTCCGAAAATTCCGTGATTGGAGCAAAACGTATGGTCCGGTTATGAAGATTCAGATAGGTAAGATTGCCTGATTCACACTGCAGCCGATGTGCGCTGAGGACATTTCTAAGTTTATGGCATGAGTTTTCTAATGCATCTGATGCAATTTCCTATTTTGTCTTGTACTATGTGATTTTTTCAGGTGAACAATTTCCTCGTCTTTTGACTGAGTGTTTGAGACGGGTGTCACCCATGGGGCAGGACAAGGTCATCTTTTCGAAAACACTACTTGATAGTGACTCATATACACGTGCTTCTGATATAGTACAGTCGTATAGTGGACTCCTGTGATGGTCATTCTTGATTTGGGTTGTGTGCATTGGGTAGTTTCTTACAAGTATTGGATCAGTAACACTGTCCCCCATAGATAACACATATATGCATATCTATTTCCTGAAAAGAAGAGATATATTTTCATTTTTAAATATAGAAGTGGACATAATGATTTTACAGGCAATCGACTTGCAATTGTTCTGAGTCGAATCGATGTTGTAACGGAAGCCCTCCTTACACGACAAGCGGACTTAGCAGGAAGGCCCGATACATTTGTTGGTAAGATGTTATTCAATTCAAAAGGTGTCCACAAACATACTTAAAACCAAAACATTACAATTTTTATTCGCATCCTAATATTGAACTTTCAAATTGAGATTGTGACCAGTACATTACACTTGAATATTAACGAAAGGGACTTTGAAATCAGTGAAAGTAAATCTCAATCAATAATCATTTGAAACCTCACCCTAAAGTGCTGGGTTTCAAATCAAAATAGAATGTGTCTAAGCTACAGACTGGAACTACATTGATTTCATTGTTTTAGGTTTATTTCCTAATTATTATGTGCTTGCTGCTTGTTTTATTGGTTTCATTGTTTTCGAAACGATACCTCACAAAATGACAAAGATATTGTAAATCAGGAAATCCAACACCTCACACAAATGAGTATCTAAATATTTCTATCCAGAGTTATTTGTAGTATCCAGTAATTGACCATACCCTTTAAAAAGTGCAACAACGTCAGGTTTAAAGACCCCTACTCTTTAGAGAATGGGATTCCTCTTTCAATTGATCATGAGTGGTAGATGTGTAAAGCAAGGAAATGTTTTTAACTTGAGCAAATGTAACTTCGGGACAGATAATCTGTTATTCCTCGCACCGTGTAGGCTATTCCATATAGCATATATTCTAAGCATTAGCTGTGCATATACTTAGTCAATTAACACTCTGTATGTGTCTTAGCAACAACTATAAGCGAGGGAGGAAAAGACATAGTCCAAGGATCGTATGGCCCCACGTGGAAGATGCACAGGAAAATTGCATCCAAAGCACTCAGGTAAAATATAACTTACTATGTAAAATTTACGTGGGATCGTTAAGAGTCAAGATGCTAAATAAGATACCTTTCTACAAAGTTATACAAAGTTATAGTTTGTATACAAGTTATACAAAAAACTGAAATATTTGAAGTCATCCTAGAGGAAAATTTAAGAACGCATAAAATTAATTAATAAATAATATATTCTGTAAAATGTTAAAAGTGTTTTAAACTGATTTTATATGAGCTAGAACACTATCATTCAATACTGGGACCATGGTCCAGGGAATTAGTTTTTGTAAATGAAAAATCTGTTTGAGCTCAATTAAAAAAAATCAATATAGGTTTTTTTTGTAAAGTAATATTTAATTTATGTATCAGGCACTATCTAATGGGAGAGAACCTCAGCTTGAAGGTGTCGCAATCTCTCAAAACCTCTATAAAGCTGATGAGTAAGGAACCAGGTGCCTTTGATCCATTCCCCTACCTTTCACTCGGGATCTCCAACATGATGACAGGAATGTTGTTCAATAAAACGAGGTAATTATATTTGCTGTGTTTTTAAAAATATGCATGTTTTTAAACAAAAAGTAACATTGTTGTTTGTGATATTTGAAACTTCAGTCGGAACATAACCTTTTCATTTCCGTGTACTTGTTTTGTTTCAACTTTTACTATAAGAATATGGATAGGTCAAAACCGATGCGAGATAATTATCTACCTTACACAGCCTGTTCTTTGGTCATTTCTTTGAAAATTTTAATGTGTTTCAAAGACACTCCAGAGAATTCTTCGTGATTCAGTAAACAATTACTAAACTTTCCCTCATTTATATAAATTTATTGGTTTTACTGAACACACCAAGTAACTCTCCTCTGCAATACATTCATGTGTTCACTTATCTTTTTACGTCAGTAAAGTAGATTATGGAACATCATTTGATTAAGTCATATGTATAACAGAATAACCCTTGGGTTTGGTCGTTTTGACATGTATGACATGATCTTCTATTTAGTCATGCAAGGCATGCAATGCGCTGCGCAGATTTGCGTCCCTCAGACGTGCCAGATACCTATGATCATCGTTTAAAAATTCCACATTCGCCCTGAGTATTTTGCTAAGGTTCTCAGCACCATACACATGCTCGTAGGTTTCATCAAGGCGGTTATATCAAAAACCTACATATCATCACGCTGTCAACTGAAATACCATTCAAAGCGGCAAACTCATCCAGAATTCTATTAAATTCTAGCCAAACTACAGACTCTGAATACTATAAAGAGTACGTCGTCGGCATAGACAACATGATGAAAGATTTTGGAGACGGTTTTCTAGAAGATGCCATTCCCCTGCTCCAACTGTGCCCAACGCCTAGATTCAGGCGTGTTATGCGACTCGCTGCTCAAATGACAGATGCAATCAGGAAAGAAATCGCAGCCCACAGAAAAACGTTCAACCAAGGTAAGTACATGTAAGAGTGTCGGTTCTATAATACTACAATTATATAATAGCCAATACCGAGTCACCCTAGAACCCAATTATAAACATTTTGGCACAACAAGATGTTGAATTTGATGAAAACAGAACAAATATACATGGACATCATTATTGCATTTTAGTTGAGACCATGGATTATCAATAGATATGTTCAGTCAACTTCCACATGACTGGTCATGTTTATAATTGAATAGAAATAAGCCATTCAAAAGCCTAATCTGCGGACATTGTTGGCTGTTGCATAATGATTTCCTGGAACAGTACAATTACTCGAATATAGACTAAGTCACAGGCTGACCGATTGCTGGAACTATTACAGGTGAGATGCGGGACTTCACAGATGGTTTGATACTGGCTCAGCAAGAAGCAGAAGAAGGGGACGACCCGATCCTCATGTCACAGATTACCAACACACACATGGTCATGACAATCTTTGACTTAGTTTTCGGTGAGTCATCGAGTTTTTTGCAAGAGTGAGACGTTAGCAAACAAGGAAAGTTTATTTAGTCATGTTACTACAGCAAATAGTAAATGGGATTATAACCATCAAAAGACAATGGTTACTGGCTGAGAACATGGCATACACCATATATGGCAACACCATGTGAAGATAAGTCCATGGTTCCGACCTCTAATACATGGTCATAATGTCCCTGGATATAATGTCACCCTGGTTATTTTTCAGAACGGATTTCCGCAGTGCAAGATTTCCTGTTATAATGCCACCCCATTGTAAGGCCAATTCCAATGTTGTTAGAGGGTAGCCGAACAAGCGTTCCAATTCCCTGGTTATAACGCAATATTTTTATCATATTAACAAGGAAATTGGCAGTGTAGTTCATCTTTTGGAGACAATTCCCTCTCCTAAATCAACAAACTAAATGCATTATTCTCAGTTGTTTTCTCGGCTTGTCAAGAAGCTCATGCTTAATTAACAACTGGAACAGACACCACTCACGAATCAGTGGGATTTCTCAATGGGAAAATGTAAATTGACTACCATCAGACACACCCGTGAAGATTCCGGGGTAGAATAGGTCTTCATCAACCCATACTTGCCGTAAAAGGCGACTGTGCTTGTCGTAAAAGGCGACTTACGGGATCGGGTAGTCAGGCTCGCTGACTAGGTTGATACATGTCATCGATCCCAATTGCGTGGATCGATGCTCATGATATCAATCACTGGATTGTCTGGTCCAGACTCGATTATTTACAGACCACCGTCAAATGGCTGGAATATTGCTGAGTGCGGCGTTAAACAACAAACCAACCAACCAACCAACCAACCATCAGACACAGATACCTCTACATTAGCAAGTGTTCACCGATGATAGCAGTCTTTTTGAACAGACATAACACACGTTACAGTAGGATTAATCTTGTCATAGAAGGTCTTGACTCACGTTCTTGTTATACACAACTCTCGCTGTTAAATTACAGAAAACGAATCACACCCAAATATGATTCCTTTTGCATTGATGTGGTAGAGCCATATATATTATTGATTTGGTTAATTTATCTAACATTTCAGCTGGTACAGACACATCCAGGGGCACTCTCCGCTGGTGTCTCCTGGCGATGGCTCTCCATCCTGACATTCAAAAGAAAGTTCAGAAAGAGGTCGACTCTGTTATCGGTGCGTTTTAGGAAAGGCAGTTGCACTATTTCCAAAACTAGAAACCTGTTTAATATCTTTTCATGATGCTTCTTAAAATAAATATTGTAGCTGGCTCCGTGCGAGTCGAGTCAACGTGGCATTTAATGGCATGTTTACATACGAGGGTTGACTGATAACTTCTGAGCCTCACATAGAAATAATATAAAACACCAGAAAAAAAAGTCTTGATCATCCGCCAAGTAAGGGATGACGTTGAAAAAGAAATCATTTTAATGTCGTTAGGTCAAGTCTTTCTATGTTAGACTCAGAACTTATTGATCAGTCCTCGTATCACATCTAATATAATAACGGTATCAAACATACAGTACTCATTAAAGGTTCAGACAGGACAGTTGGCACATTGTCTTGACATTAATTGAAAATTCAATTTTAATGCACATCTGGAATTATAAGAATGCATATACTGAAAGAAATATTTAACATAACAGCTGAAGTGTACACCATACCTACATATATAAAAAGGAATATTTTCGGCTCAATAAACCAAAGAAGAACATGAGACTGAAAATGATGTTTGTATAAGAGTTTAAATACTGTCAGATATGTATAATCAGTTTCTTCCCAATGGCGAGAGGGGTTTGATGAAGGAAACTGTGTAATATACGATACACACAGAAAATTCACCGACGCTACATAGGATGAATAAAAATAGCTGCCCGCCACATCCTTTCTTGATTCAGAAAATGTTGAAGATGTCATTATTCTATATGTGCATACATTCTGAACATGTGGTGCCATGGTGCCTTGAAATGTCTTTCAAGTTCAAATAATAGGAAATTAATATGTCAGGGACAGTCACGCTATAACCAACAGGGGGGGCATTGATGGGAATATTGTCGATGTTTCCTTGATGATGGTATTTGCTATGATTACAGATCCTGATCTGAACGTCCACGTTTCGGACAGGGACAGGCTGCCATACACAGATGCAGTGATACACGAGGTCATGAGGATGAGGACAGTGGTTCCATTAGGCGTTCCTCACTCGGCCCTTTGTGATACCACAGTTGGTAGGTATTACAGCATGTTACACAAAACACTTGATACTATTGATCAAAGTATATGATGAATTTTTTACTTATCCTGCATTACTCCTTAATGCATTCACTGCTTACTTACGACAACTAGAAGGACAGCGCTGCAAAGGTCCTGGGTGAAGAAATAAAGTTGTTGTTCTCAAGTCCCAATCAGTGGCCTTCCGTCGCTGTCCTGTGACCTTGATGACACCTAAGGTCATCTTCACATCACTGCTTGTCGCAGCACAGCTAGGACGTGTCCCAGCGGAGCTCTCCTTTTGGATTAATTTTAGACCTTCAGTTTGTCTACAATCTTAAAAATTGATCTGCGATGGGCGATGTATTCTTTTCATATTACTTTCACCATGTTGTGTAGTTTTATGTGAATTAATTAGGCGTGAAAAGACTCTTGTCTTTTTTCCCGCCAAAATATTGTTGTTCGCCGCCATTTTGAATTGTGTTACAATCGTTTGCCTGCCAAGGTAGTCGTATTGTTTACAATTCTCAGCTACGTATGTACATGTGTATAACATATTCTTATCTTCTTAAATACTACTAGCTTTGGCGTAACAGTGAGTTGCGTATACTCAAATTATTGAATACTTTTTCAACTCGTTAAAAATATGGTTGCCGATAGATTAATATCAAATCTACGGCTTTCTTCCAGTCCAGCTTCATCAACAATTCTTTTATTGCGTACCTATGTTTATGCGATTAAATAGGTTTTCGTTGGTCTTTTTGGTTTACATTGAGTTGCGTATATGAACTTTTGTATACTCTTGCAACTCGTAGTTTTGCCGATAGATTATTGTTCAATTCTATGGCATTTTTCCAGTACAGCCTCATCAACAATGGCGTAATTGTGTAACTTATGATTGAGCGTGGTACTAATTGTAGTGGGAAAAATCTTACAAAGAACTTCATCCACGTTGTTTGGTCTGTACGCAGATGTGCTCTCCAAACCCTAAATGAAAATATAAATACCCTTGGTTTACATTGAGTTGCGCATACAAAAATATTGTATACCCTTGCAACTCATAATTTTGCCGATAGATTAGTGTTCAAATTCTTCGGTACTCTTCCAGTATTGTCTCATCAACAAGGGTTTAATTGCGTAACATACCTTTGAGCATTGTACTAATTGTCGTGGAAAAAACCTTACAAAGATTATCATCCACGTTGGTTGGTTTGCGCGCAGATGTGCTCTCCAACCTCTAAATGTAAATAGCCTTGGTTTACATTGAATTGCGTATATAAAAATATTGTATACCCTTGCAATTCGTATTTTGCCGATAGATTACTGTTCAATTCTACGGCATTCTTCCAGTACCATTTCTTCAATGGTTTAATTGCGTAACTTATGTTCGCGTGGTGTACATATTGTCGTGGAATAATCGCCCAAAGATCTTTATCCACGGTCCTAGGCATGGACGTAGATGTGCTCGCCAAAATTCAAAATGTAAATTTTGTGTAAATCTCTAATCCAACGAGTTTACTATATAAAAGCAGATTACTCACAATCATATTTTGCAGTTATTCCGTCGTGAGACGAGAGGAATGTCACTATCGCAGAATAGCGAATGACATGGTTCGGTCATTACCACCCAACCGTTATTATCGGCAGGTATTATGATGCCTGTGACTGCAGAAGTACACCATCCACCGAAATCAACAATACCGGAGGATTTTGTGAGTATCATAACTGCTCCTATTTTTTCAGCCGCCGGACACTTCCAGATACATGAATGTTAATCTGTGACGTCGGCGACAGCACCAGCGTATCAAGATGCTATGATGGGGGTAGATTAGACGCAAGCCTTGATCCAGTCAATACCTTTGAGCTTTGTGTCTGATTTATCTGCGCCGAGCGCAGCACTTGACTACAACCCAAGCACTTCTATTACGCAAGCGACGCACGATAAGCTTAGCGCTGTTCCAACATATCCAGCATAGACCTGCGCCGAGCGCAGCGTCTGACTGCTACCAAAGCGCTCCTATTACGCAAGCGATGCACGATCAGCTTAGCGCTGTCCCAACATATCCAGCATAGACCTGCGCCGAGCGCAGCGTCTGACTGCTACCCAAAGCGCTCCTATTACGCAAGCGTCGCACGATCAGCTTAGCGCTGTTCCAACATTCCAGACCTGCGCTGAGCGAGCGTCTGCGTACCAATCAAGGTCTCTACAATGACGTTAGCCCAAAGGCTTACAGTGTACTCGGTTACGTAACCGGCACATGATCAGTTTAGCACATGTACCTGATTGGGTAGCAGACCATCCCGTGTCAGTAACGCCCTCCCCCGATAACGGGGTAAATAAGAGGGACACCACGAGGTCATTGGAGGAAGACTTTTCCAAAACTCACATTTGCTCCGTCATTTAAGGGACCAATATCGTCAATGTTTGCAGTGGATCAGAATCTATTAGAGGATAACCCTATCTGATTAGATCACTTCCAAACTATGGTGTTTTTCCTACAGCATCAGTTTGACCACAGGAAAATTCATCTTGAGACCGTTCTGACGGAGATTACCGTTACACCCAAGAGTCTATTACGTCAATCTTGGTCATCTACTCCCCTGTTCAACGAACAGATCGCAGACATGCACGTCAAGTTCCCCAAAAGCTTGGAAAATCCAAGCAGGCTGGCAAGTCAGGGAATTATAAGCCTAGACGCGCGTTTCTCAGGGAAGACCAGCATTCCCTTACTGGGAAAGGGATTGGCAGAGACAGGTCTCAAGGACGATTTCGTACTTATCGCACCATATCATGGTGTCCGTATACGGGTAGAGATAACCCCACCGTTGACCACAGTTTGATTGGGAAAATCCAACATAGACATACTGTTTGTAAGAAGAGCTGTAGAGTGGGTTCACAACCCAGTCTTTACGACGGGGTTTTATCCTCACACCTACCTGGTACTCATGAAGGACCCAGACAAGATGAGAATGATCCACAATCTTTCTGTGTTCAACGAACGTTTGATTCTTGATCAGTCTCGACTATCCATCCCAACCGTAGACTTTTCAGGTCCAGTTCATTGGGGTTCACTACCAATGGTAGTATTTCCAATTTGACATGTCAGTGACACTTATGGCTATTTACAGGAGTAATGAAGCCAATAACTATCTACACTTGACGAACACTTGGTTCGAGTCGTAGATGGAGGGCGATCTACTGTATCAACACATGTCAATAACTGGGATAGACAATCAACGAGGCGAAGTCGGGAGTATCTCCTTCCTATTGACTTCAGTTCATAGGAGACCTGTTCAAAACAGACCAGGATATCCTATCTGTACCGAGGGACAGATGGCACAAGTTTCTACTTCTTTTTGTCATCTACTCTACACCAACCACACACACTTTGCCAGTGGAAAGTGTTGCTAGGGTTAATCACCTCGGCACAGGAGTTAACTAGCATGGGCCGCTTACAACTGAGACCAATTCAATTTTTTCCTGAACCCTAACATCAGGAGTCAGGATCCACTCAAGGCCATCACTCTACCGACTAAGCTAGAGCCTTGCCTCAATTTGTGGTGTTGAATGTCTGCGGAGTCTCTTTATTCGGGTTTTCCCCGAATACACACCTGTTTGTGGACGTCCCCTTTCAGGGGTGGGGTCTTTACTTACAAGACCAGATCAGCTCAGGGCTATGGCCCGGCGCTCAATGGAAGTGACACATAAACAACTTGGAGTTGGAAGCTTTAATTCTGGCTATATCACATTGGCAGAATCAACTACAGTTAGCCCGACTCGCAATATCCACAAACAGCAGCACTGTGGTGTGGTGCCTGTGCAATCGGGGAACAACACATTCCCACTCTCTACTTCTAAGGACATTCAGATTTGTTCCATCTAGTGGATCGGCTGTGACTAAAGTTCATAGTGCAGCACATTCCCGGATGTAGAAACATACTGGCCGATACTTTATCACGTCCAGACAGGGTGGCTCCCACCGAGTGGAAATTTCTCACAGAAGCATTCCAGTTCCTGCTTCAGGAATTCAGGCAACCAAACATTGACTTGTTTATTACTTGCCTAGGCCACCAACTCCTGACGTATTGCTCCCCGTTGCCGGATCCGCAGACTTGGGCGGTGGACGAGTTCAGTATCACTTGGGAAGGGCAAAAAACTTACACTTTTCTGCCACCACTTTTACTTCCCAAGGTGATACAGGGGATCAAGGAGACAAGGTATCTCGATCTCTCCTTTGGTCGCACCCAGGTAACCGGCGAGAGGGTAGTTCGTCAAGCTCGGAAAAATATAAAACGTTTAACTACCCCTCTCACAGTGGTCCAACCTACTCATCCACCCTCAACTGAAAATTGCCTCACCCAACGTCTGCACGCATGGTTCGTCTTTAAAAGGCGTTTAAGTACGAAGGGTTATTTCGACACGGGCAGCAAAGCTATAGCTTTAGTTCATCGTTACTCTCCCAGAGACGACGATGACAAGTGGGGATCACTTGAGACTTTTTACAGAGAAGAAAGGAATCAAGAACCTACGATTGCGTCACAATTCCTAGAGGAATACCTCCTACATTGCGTACCCAAAAACACTTGGAAGGTAGCACCATTACTACGTAATTGGCTGCAATTATCTTAGTGTTGTCCGTTTCCGGAAAATCACAATGTGATTAAGGTCACGGAACTACAGGCCATATTATGCTCATTCAGGCTTGAGGATCAGAAGGCCAAGTTCCACCCACCTGACTTGAACGTGGTAGTTCGAGGTTTGCGAGGGCCCCCTTCGAGCCCCTCATTGCATCCTCATTGCATCCTCATTTTCAAGCTCCTTCCCAGCGCGTGACATCTTCGTTACACTCTCGGTATAGTATAGAGAGCTCCGCGAACGGGCTATCGCTGTGAGGAGCTTGCCTCATTTCATGACCTCACCAAGGAAACAATGGTTTCTCTTGGCATTAGCAATGGCGGTATGGGTGAGCGAACTACATGTGATCGACTCAACCCGGATCCGTGTTGAGCATGGGACGCACGGAACGGGACATCTAGGATTATGCTGGGATTTTATTGCTAAAATCTACTACCAGGCCAACCCGACCGTTCCTTCACCATCCCACCGATATCGACTATTGTGGGAATCGTACAAGGTGAAGTTCTCCTGGGCTCGGTGCGAGCAGTTCGAGTTTTCATTCGACGCTCCAAGACTAGGCGTGGTTCGTCCACGACAGAAGTTAGTCGCATAATCGCAAACACCCTATCTCTATGGTTACGCGCAGTAATCCTTCAGGCCTACGAGATCATCAAACGGAACTCGCCGAGAGCGAATTACCCTCAAGATCTCAAGGTGTCAGCCTTACCAGGGCTCAACACGGCAATTGTGGTTTTGGAACAATCACGGAAGGATATTTCTGGAGATTAGACACATATTTTCGTTAGTCATAACCTTCGCGTTGGGACTCTCGAGGATGTCGAAGACGTTCGAAGTTTGGCCCTCTGGTTGTTATCCTGCAGATTGCCAACCCCTGACGCAAATTATAAACTCGCCCTATACAGAGCCAGTCAACTTCCATGTGCAGTCACTCAGTCGCCACCAGTGGAAGAATATTAGACAATCTTGTTTGTCAGCGACAGCTCTATGACGCAGTAAGTAAAGAATTAGCTGAATAGCTATTATTTTCTTTATTACTAAGCGTGTATAGGGAATTTCTCTTTAATTCCTATGTTCAATCTTTTTGATTTTTGAACAACCCTACCGTAATGGCGTTTTTGTCTGAACTTTTCCGCTTCACGGTTTATCGACCAACTGGTGTCGTATTGCAGGGTGTGAATTATTGAGGTTTCTGTATTCTGAAGGCTTACCCACCTCCAAACCGTCCGATACAGATGCATTAAGGAGTAATGCAGGATAAGTAAAAAATTTAGTAAAATCTAAATATTTTTTACATTTGTATACTTATCCTGCATTACTACGCTTAAGGCCCACCCGTCGTAAGACTTGCCTCCCCACTTTGGCTTCAGAAACCTCAAAAGTATGTTTTTCTAAAAGCTTGGGCGACAGTCAGTGATGTGAAGATGACCTTAGGTGTCATCAAGGTCACAGGACAGCGACGGAAGGCCACTGATTGGGACTTGAGAACAACAACTTTATTTCTTCACTCAGGACCTTCGCAGCGCTGTCCTTCTAGTTGTCGTAAGTAAGCAGTGAATGCATTAAGGAGTAATGCAGGATAAGTATACAAATGTAAAAAATATTTAGATTTTACTAATTTTTTTACTTATCCTGCATTACTCCTTAATGCATCTGTATCGGACGGTTTGGAGGTGGGTAAGCCTTTAAAAAATATTTAGATTTTACTAAAAGTAAGATCTCAGATTAAATAGTTGAGATGCATTTGGCTGTGTCACGTGTCCACGTGTATGGTGAGCATGGCAGTGTGAGGCTTTTGTCTGTTGGGAAGATTGTGATAACAGTGATGATGCGTGGACATGTTAATGTTGATGAAGAATAGGACTGACGACAGCATCAAAGAAAAGTAATTTCTTCATATCAGTGAGGTTTCTTAATGGAAGAGGGTGTTAATATAGACGATGATGTGTTGATGTGTATGAGATGTGTTTCTTTTAAAAGTATTCAATCAAATACGTCTCTCATTTTAGCAACTTTATTATGTTTCATTTTGGCATCTAGCTTGTCTGCTCTTTGGTCTTGGGTAAATGTTTGCTGCGGCTCGAGCGACCACGGCATCAAGGATGGCGTGTTTGATGCTTCTGTCATTGCAGGTGGATACGATGTTCCCAAGGGTACAATGGTGTTTATCAACCACGACGCTTTGCACTTTGACCCTGACCAATGGGAGGACGTCAATACGTTTAAACCTGAACGATTCCTAGACTCATGTCTGAGGTTGTCATGGCAATGAATATGAACGTGAAGCTATTTTCTGTAGGGATGACTGATGATGCAAAAGATGATGATGATGATGATATAAGTGAAGATATTATCATAGAAAACTCATGTTATCCGTTGAGGGACATACAGTAAATGATGACGTGTCATTCCAGGTGGATACGATGTTCCCAAGGGAACAATGGTGATGATCAACCACGACGCTTTGCACTTTGATCCTGACCAATGGGAGGACGTCAATACGTTCAAACCTGAACGATTCCTAGACTCAGAGGGGAAGATGGGACCCAAGCCAGAAAGCTGGCTTCCGTTCTCTGCCGGAAGGAGAGTTTGTCTCGGCGAGACTGTCGCCAAACCCGAGATCCACCTCTTTCTCGCTGGAATCCTGAGAGTATTCACCATTTCACTTGCCCCAGGAACACAGCACGACTTTGAGCCACGGAGTTCGGGGTTGATTAATAGTCCAGGGGCATACAAAATTGTAGTGAAATCGAGAGTATAAATCAGTGCTTTGGATTTAATGCTATTTTGATCGGGGTTTCATTTTTTAATATGGAATAAAATCCCCAGGTGACTAATATATGTACATGGAACATGTATCTGGACAATCATGTTAATAGACCAAAAAAATGGGGTTTAGGTAGTTCTTCGATGTTCAATTTATGTCTTAATTATTTTTAATTTTAATTATTACCATAATTACGAAGGTTTTTGGTCTGAAAACAATTGTCAAAAGTGACACCTTTAGGCATCATTCATATTCATAAAATAAAAAAAACATCATTTCTTTCAGAAAATGCTTGATCTGCCTTTGCAATAAAAAACATTTTCGCTGGATGTATACAAAAATGTGTTGTGCGGTTTTGTTTTTTTCTGCTCCCTTCAGGGAAAATCATTGAAATCTAGAAGCAATAAACATTTTAGTTCTGCGCCATTAAACTTGTTTATAGACTATAGACTAGTCTATGAAATCATTCCTTTAAAATAATTGTTTTGTTTTTTTCAAAAGAAGATTTCCTCCTCTGCTATTTTTTATTAAAAAATCTACGGAACTAGTCATTGTTTAGTTTGATCTTGACTTGCCTAGGATTTTAGTGAAAAGTAATGCATAAACATTGAGTGTTAGTCTATAACCATGTCAGTCTACAGTCTTTCCCAACAACGTGTCCGAACAATGACATTAGATACTGGTGTTCACGTTTCTTACAATACCCTTTCTGTCCCTCATCAATGCATCTTCACGCTTATTTTAGATTATGTTAATTTTTAATAATAATTATTTTAGAATGATGGGAAAGTGCACTCGCGCGACACTGGGTCAACCTCCGGCTATAAATTTATGCAAGGATGTAGAATATTAAATTTTCCTGTCTGATGGTGTAAAATTAACTGCAAATATCAAACTGGTTTGAAAACAGACATTGCTAAGTGTTGTCCGAAATTCTGCGTCCAGATACAGGAAATTTTGCCACTTTTTATCTTACATCGATAAAAGTACTGTTCGACGATTTTTGTCATTTAACAGCTTTATGGAAACTGTGATCGAACAAAATACGGCCTAATATATAAACGATATAATGATATATCAAATGGATCTGTATGCTTATGTATAACATTATACATTCAATACGAAAAAAAAGACGACAGAGAGGTTACACACAAACAAACAAAAGGGGGCATAACTCCGCTTTGCACTTGTCAATTGTAACTGTTGATAAGGACAATATCGTTCTTGATGTATTGCTCACGAAGAACAAAACTATTCCAGCTCAAATGTCAATTTTGAAACCGTATATATCTGGGCCGGGACGTGTAACTCGGGTACCAGGGTCGGGTGGGGTAGGAGTAGGACCCGGGTACCCACAGGATTACCCGGGCCGTGGTTCGTCACGTGATATATTGTCTAATGCTTAACATTATCTGGAACTCTATGGTTACACTACAAGTCATTCATGTTCGCTTTTCTTTCTGACTATGCACCCATTCCTTCTGATTTGTCATATGGATGAATAAAGATATAACTTATGTCAACTTCAGTGTATGCATGACCAGATTGTTTAATACAAGTATCTTAATACGTTTTGCGGGGACTATGCTAAAATAGTTCCCAATCAGACATTTTAAGACATCTCCTGAGACCTACAGTGGGTACCCGGGTAGGGTCGGGTAATAGGGGGGCGGGTACCCGGGTAGTGAATTTGGACTTGTCCCAGCCTTAGTATATATACGTTTAGGTATAACACAAAGAAATGATGAAATTGTACTGCATAACAAAGGAAGTGACAGCGGAATGGATGGCGCATTTACATTAGCCCTTACATTCCCACACTCGCCTGATTGTGCAAGTGGAATTTATTGCTTTTTCAACACACTTGGACAAGACACGCATGTCCAGCTGTGCTTTAACTTGCATCTAAAATATGTTTATATATGGGGAAATATATGTGAACCATTACGCAACGAGTTGACTATTGTTTCAGGTCTGCCCGTTTGCGCTAAGACGGAACCCGGTCGCAAAAATGGCCATGAGAGGGGCAAAGTCGCTATTCGGCTTGTCCCGGAATAGCACGAGTAGGTCACGAATGGATACGCACCTGTTTAGCATTCATTTTATGTAAATCAAATAGCCAAAAGAATATTTCAAAACAAACAAAACGTATCAATATCGGACATGTATTGTTCATTAGGGGGCACGGGTGCCCCAGGCGTCTAAGGCGACGCGATTTGCTGTGCAGAGTTGCGTCCCTTGGGCACGAATTGGGTTCGAATCCCGGTTCGTCCCGATTATGTTTCTAGGTTTGTGAGCACCATACCCGTGCTCGTGGGTTTCACCAAACGCTGTGATATAACTTGAATACTGTTAAAAGCGGCGTTAAACCCAACTCACTCACACAGTCACTATTGTTCATTATCATGTGGTCATTTCTCTTCATCTCAGACATATACCTTTAAAGATGCGAAGAAGCTCCTTATATATGGAGTTATCAGGAAAATCGTATATGGTTCGACCAACGGAGTACATTGTACGCTATATTTTTATATCTCAAATTCTTGGAGAAATGAAGTAAACGTGTGATAACAAAATTGTAAAAAATGATGAACCAAATGAAAATATCATACAATACAAGGGGAGTAATTCGAAAATGTATCGTTTGTGCCTAACGCGCACCTGGCGAATTAATAGTCATCACTATTCCGTTAATCAAAACGACATAAATAACAATTACTTCCTAAAATATGTTCATATATATTTAACAAACATATTACCCATTTTGTTTGAAGTAATATATTCAGTTTTATTTTTAAAATAGAATGAAATGGCTATTCATTAACCAGTTTATATGTAATTACAATAATAAATATGAAGTGCAGTTTTCCGAGCACAGCCTTCGTCTTCACAAAACTGTTTAGTGTATATTTGTGCGTGATGTATTTTGAATTTTATTCGACTTCAAAGTGAGGATTCGAGAGGAAGAGCACAAATGCCCCTCTTGGACAAATCCGCGAGCACGGGTATTGTTGCAGCATCTATACCCACAGGGTTCCTTGTTTGAAAGTCATTGTCATGGGAAAGCCAGCTGGGCAGACGGGCAGACGACACACTAAGGGACGTAACCCTAATTTATTACCACCCAGGCTGACACCGATTGCCCATTCAAAATGCATTGACAAGCCATATCAGCCCGGCAGGGATGTAATACGGGTCTGGGTATTACACCCCCTGTGATATGACCATGTTGGCTCTAACGCACATGTAAAGTGCCTCATATCATTCATAGGTATATGATAAAATAATGTATCATATACCTACCACATAGATGTTCAACGCCGCTGTGGTCATTATGTCAGCTATATCACGGCCAGTTTTGTCAGGTGATACTGGAGGAAAGAGATTTGTTATCTCACCTAACTCTGGTAAAACCCGCGAACAAGGGACGTAACTCTGAAGAGTGCATTGCAGTGCGCATGCCCACAGAACACCCGGCCTCAGCGGGTTAAACTTCGCGCTCAAGATTATTGCACTCACATACATTTGTGAAAGAGAAAGAGTGAAAGAGAGGGACAGAGATAGAGACACACAGAGAAAGTGACAATAATGTCAAAATGGAATAAATTAAAGCAAACACTGATGAATGCGGGATGGCCATTTTACTATCTTTCCGTTATATAAATTGCTTAACAATGATACGGATGGAAAAAATGACAAATATTAATTAGGTTTTTGAAAATTCAACTTCTTCAAAACGTCCATATACATTTCAATGTATATTTGTGCACTCACACAAGAATGTATTCACGCCTCTATAATTGTCCGTAACTATGAGTGAGTGAGTATGGTTTTACGCCGCTTTTAGCAATATTCCAGCAATATCACGGCGGGGGACACCAGAAATGGGCTTCACACATTGTACCCATGTCGGGAATCGAACCCGGGTCTTCAGCGTGACGAGCAAACGCTTTAACCACTAGGCTACCCGACCGCCCCCGTAACTATGAAGTCGGCTATGGCGACATTTTACATTTCCCGTTATCGGCACTGACTGTTGAAGGCAGACGTCTGTTGTGCCCTTAAACCTACAATGGTCTTAAGTCTACAATATTCATGAGTGGGCGTGGCTTGTGTATGCGCCAGACACTATCTTCCTCAAAGCTGTTGATGTCTAACGAACGCATCGCTGTCTCGGCTGTCATTGCGCGATACGATGTTTCCCTCACAATCTGCACATCAGAATAAGCGATGGCTGTGAATTGATCCAGCGTATTTGTCATGAGAGTATGATGAAATAAATACGCTAGGTAATCGAGGATGACCTTATACCCGATGTCTTACGCAGAAAATTATCATTTAATTCATTTTCTATTCGTTAGTTACCCAAGACAGCTTTCTCAATATGACCACTGAGGTTTACCACTGAAAATCTTCAAGAAAAGCCACCACTGGGAAAAAACACCTTTTTGACATTAATGGTAAAATTGTTCAAACGTCTCCGTGACTGTAGAAATCATGTTAGTGTTTTTTTAAATGTAGTGTTGTTTGTTCGTTTGTTGTTTATATATTAATATTCCGTCTGCATGACGGCATGTAGCAACATCCAGTGATTGATATTATGAGCATAGATCCACGCCGTCGCAGTACGGGTGGCCCAGTCGTCTAAGTCGCCGCGATTCGCTGCGCAGAGTTGTGTCCCTTGGGTACGCCAGAAACCTATGATTGTGGGTTCGAAACCCGGTTCGCCCCGATTATGTTTCTAGGTTTGTCAGCACCACACCCGTGCTCGTGGGTTTCACCGAAGTGGTAAACGTCTGAGACCTGCATCACTTCAGGCTTTCCTCCCACATTAAGCTGACACGCCGTGATATAACTGGAATACTGTTAAAAGCGGCGTTAAACACAACTCACTCACTATTATTTTGGGATATGTGGCTTTTGAGCAGCTTTAACAACCCCAATTCCTGTCAGTCCAGAACCATACATAGAACAGCAGGAATAAAGGCCTGCTTGTTCAATTATTCCTTGAGTATAATAATTGTTGGTGAAATGTTCAGGTATTGATTATATACCGGACGGAATTGTGCAGGTTTGCTTTGCTTACTCCTTTCGAAAGTTAATGAAATAATTGTGTATTTATCCGTTTGTCGAATAGTGTCAGATAATTTGAAGAGATCCTGAAAATGTGACTAGCGTCTTCTCTGTATACTTATCTACCACAACCAAAACTCACTAATGTACATGCACTGCCAAATCTAATGTTTAGTCGTATATTACAAATTAATCTTTAATGTGTGCCACATATCCATTCCGCTTTGGACTGGAATCCAAATCTCCTTAAACTAAGAAATATATATCGCGGGTTCCAGCAAATGTACCACCAAATTCCTATCTCAAATATTAACTGTAATCCTTACGCAATAAAGGAATAAAGCCACGAAAGCCCTTTCCATGTCCAATAGTCGATTGTACAATTCCGTCTATATCATGAGCATGTGTTTATGAATCACTATCAAATAAATGATACCAGGTGTTCGCGAAAAGGTGAGCGTATCCTGCTCCACCCGTGGCACCCGTCACAAACACATGCAAAGACAAGTAAATTCTTCACCTGAAAAACAACAACACGGGAATATATGCTACAAGTCAAAATAGGGAATTGCATCGGACATCATTTTTGTCACTGATGCGTCAAATTTGGAAATGTCCTCCACATGTCTACAATAAAACGTTTTGAAAGCTTTACTGATGTCTTGAATGTTGTAACCTTGATCAAATAACTTCTTAGCAAGAGTCATATGGCGCTCTTGTTTCTTCGAAGAAAATATGTGATACAAGTGGAATTAATATCATGTTGATTATCAAAACCTCAAAGGATTTGTTTGAATTTATGCAATCTCAGAACAGAACCCAATTCAATTCTGTGAAAAACTGATTTTCAACTTTGTACACTACTACAAAGGGGAACGTTATTTAGCCTTGGCTAAAAATGATTCAATCGAAATTACATTTTCAGAGTTTGATTGACATTGACTTGCACTTGAAATGGAAACGATTGACAGTGCATAGATTTAAGCTAACACCTTCAAGAAAGTTCACAGTATCAGAATACTACATTAACGTTGCACTTCGGCGTAGTGTTCGTTTAACCCTCTGCAATCTGTGAGGTTTCAACTGTTACATTGAGCGCGGTTAGGTCTACAGGCTAATTAGCTATGCATTGAAAATGAAGCAAGCCATGCAACGGATATGACGTTACAGTCACAGAAAGGCGCCAACTTTCAAGCTCACTGTCGACCCAAAATTGTAATACACGCCCTCAGTCGATTTCTATATTCTAGTGACAGAAACTCTCCATTTTGGTACCTTCAATTGTACAACTGATTAATTGAAAATACCTATGAGATTGTGATTGATTGAGAAAGAAGTAGCTTCTGCAGTGATGCTGTCGTCAATTAGCGTTTTGAATCAGAGCTTTTGTTAGTGTGATTTGAAACCTCTGACTGACCCATCAGAATCGTGCATTTTCAAAATTTATTGTGTAATCATAATTTGATTCTTTGGGGAAATTATGTAAGTGCAAGAAACAATAGAATATATGAGAATTCTAACGAGAATGCTTTTTATATTGTGTATTGATTCTAAGTCAGCACAGTTGTTTTATCTTTGCTCTTTGCAATCGTATTGTGTAAAATCACAATGACAGTCTATAAGCTGTATTATCTAAATGTATATGGCGTTATATGTTCAAATGAATCTTACAAATCTTAATGCCTGATACTGACTGTTGATGTGTTATTTGACGAAAACTGTACGTGCATGTTCACATGGCCCACCATTTTGCACATAATTTCTGGTGACATGAGCTTCTCCAGACTTCTGTTTATCTCAATGAATACATTTTAAGAAGTTGTAGAAATTATCATAAATTAGTCCTTTGACTGTTTTGATTATCTTTACACCTGGTTGAATTCGTGAGTGCATAATTTACGACGTACTTTCTGATTAAATTATGCTTATTCATACGCAGTGCCTGTTCACTTTCGCTGGCATTATTACCAAAATTTAAAGTTCAAGCATTTCCCTTTGATTATTATCTGTTGTGTTGTCATTAAATCGCAATAGGTTTATTTCAATAAGATACACATTTGAAACGCCGTGACATATGAATCTTTGTCGTGGTAAATTTTGTGTAAAAATATATTGGTTCAATGAAGACTTGGGCAAGAAATGAATTTGCAACCACATGCCTCCTGCCATGTTTGAAATGTAAATTTGTGCCGAAAAAAAACTAAGCGCAGGTACAGTTCATATATTTTTGCATATAATAACCCTCACGTAAGATATTTTCAACTGGAAATCAAACATCTGATAAAGTCATCTGAGAGGAATAGTTTTCTTTGCTCCTCAGTTTATAAAACAATATACTAACAATACTTTTAAAGCAATTGCCTGTCATTTTTGTTCTCATAATGCACAGTGTAGGAATTGTATAATAATATGTAGCTATTGTGAAAGTAGGTCTCTTTCCAAAAACATGCCATAAGGTTTTGTCTTATCAGTCGATGTGGTCGCATGACCATTCATTTTCAACAATACAAATGTACTACCTTTCGATATGTAATGTGCTCCTTGTCCAATTTTTATGAGTCATAGGTACATAGATAAAACGAATTCATAATTTCTTGTCAAATACATTACTGCAGTCACTACTGTGAGTTTCATGTACTCTGGACTAGAAAGAGAAGGGATCAACTTAGCTAATCTATAATTAGTGCAATTGTAACCAATTGTACAGATAACGGCACAACACCATCCCAGCGACATGTTGTTCCATTAACTAAATTGTAGTCAAATTATACCTCTCGGCTTACAATACATCAAACTTTGGCTGTTATGACATATACGTGTGTAAGTCATTTAAGCCTTGTTCCATCGTCCACTTGAACCATTGAAAGAAGAAGAAAAAGCTTTGTTTATGCCAGTGTTTTTGGATATGTAAAACTGTGTTATTATGCTGATTGAACCATTCGAACCAGTGGTTAGACCTTAAGAATGGGTATATACATAAATATCCTACCGGAAATTCTTCTACGACATCGAGGAGAGACATTGAAACAATAGTGAATTGGAAACGCCTCTCTAAAAGAATTACTCGCTGGGTCTAGGGATCTTCCGACACAAATGCAAGCAGGTCTCATCCCAGTTGAGGACGTTTTACTGGTCTTTTGGCGTTATAACCAGCCGCTCTGAAGCGACGCCTTACGGTCATCGTCGAGAGTCTCTGATGGGTAATCCACTGCAGTCTTAAATCTGTTGAAGTGGCAAATGGATTTCGTCTGACTATCCTGAAAAGACGTCTATCCTCTCTGTTAGAGGTCTTTCTTGGCCTACCAGACCTATGCCTGTCAATCTCATACAGGAGCAAAATGCAACCAAGTGTCTGAAACTTGAATTTCACTATTTATAGGGTAGGGTAACTGCAGCAACACGTAAAGCACGCTTTCCTTGTGGTATCTGGACAAATTTGGGTTCAGGAAACTATGGAAGCCTAATTCAGTCATACATCATCATATTTCGTATTTCTGATTCCCACACGTGAAATCAAGAGACTATGAATATGTTGGCGCTTAACTTTTGTGCATGTGTATATATAACATAGAACCTCATGTGGATTCCATGGCAAACTTGCCACTCCATGATGTGAAAAGCACATTGTTCAAGTAATACTGAAATCTGAGAACGGGCTGAATTGTTTCAACTCACAGATAAATTGGAAGAAAAAGACACACGAAAAATAACTGCGTTCCAAATTTTATTAACTTGATGTTATTGAGTGAAGCAGCGCTTGGAGCGGGCACAGTGCGGCGAGACGTGTGCCGACGTCGACCTGACGCGTTGCTATTAATCGGGGAAGTAGTATAAGGTGGAGCAGCGGAACATGGTCGCGGTGGATGATGCCGGGGTAGGTAGAGCTTATCCTCTGTCCACCATCTAATAGAGGTCATCGCTCGTCCTCTTGTACCTTTGCTTACCAAAAGATATTTTCATCTGCTTCCTGTTACCTGCGGAAAAAAGTAACTGTGCTTCATATAAAGTGTAATAATATATCCATTTGATATATTATAATGTTCTAATATTAGGTAGTATTGTGTTCCATTACAGTTAATATAGAGCTGTCAAATATATAAAAAAAATAGTCGCACAGTTCTTTTATCCCCCTTTGATGAATATAAGTGATATTGTTTACTCTAACTAAATTTGGACGACACTTATCACTGTGTGTGTTCCAAACCAGTTTTCACCCTCAGATAGGAAATGTCATATTCTACATCTCTGCATACTTTTATTGGTAGAAAAAGGCCCAGTGCTGCGCGACTGCAATTCCCGCACAACGTTCACTTTTCAGAATTTATTAAAATGTGTGTCAGATTAATAACTCTGTTCCCTTATGAATTCTCTTCGTATTTGGTGTAGCCAAGTCATTAAAGCGTTTGCTTGTCACGCGGTACGCCCGGGTTCGATTTCGATTCCCCGCCTTGGAAATAATGTGTTGGGTCATTTCTAGTGTGTCCCGACGTGATATTGCTGACATATTTATAGAAGCTTTGTAAAGCTATACTCACTCACTCAATTTATTCATATTTAGACTTTAATGAAGACCTTCCATCCATCTTCATCAATGAGATCTTTGGGTCTTGGCGTGTTCGTGTACAGAATGCACCTCTTGTCTGTCCCCTTGTAGTTAGCACTCTTGCACATCCGTAGACGTTGGCATGAAGCAACGCATCTCAGAGATGACCTGGTGGACAGAGTGTGGAACACCGGTCGTGATATCCTCTTGTCATTAGCCTTATGTTTGAAGTGGGCACAGTTTGATGGATTGTCTTCTACAAACATAAAGGAATGCAGTGGAGAGAGAGATTCAAATTTCTCTTATGCCGCTGTCGGAATTATGGTGGCAAACAAACCTTTGTACCTTTGCTTCTCTGAGAAGAATAATAGTACAGTCGATCAGGTAAACTTCGTTCAGAATGTGAAACAAAGTGTGAAAATATGTAAACTTTTACTGTTTTTATTGTTTTTCTTTCAAAAACTGAACACACGCTATCCGACCTCAATTACAAAATGGACGCCATTGAAAACCCAATGTCTTCATGCCTAAGAAATTCTCTATCTTATATCTTTGTATTTCAAAATCAAATTTAGTAGTCTTCTGATTGAAACATTTGGAAAACCCCTAATTTGGCTTCTCTTATCCCATGAAGTACCCATTTGAAGATTTTAAGGTATTGATGATATTTGACTATAATCATAAATTAGCATCTATAAGATTGTACGGGCAATGACAAATGATGTTATCAATGTTGCTTTCCTCTGGAATGATATGTTTTTAGATGTACTTTGTAAACAATCACACATGGTTCAACGCATGGCTGACACTCTGAGGATAAGACACAATAAGAAATTTCGACTCTTTATGTGTTTATGTGTTCAATTTGAAAGAGATGGTTTATGTTTGCCCTTTTGCATTGAAGGGTCTTCATGTTCACTGTTTGGACTTTCCACAACTCCACTCCCAGAAATGCCTAGGATTAGTTTCACGGGACATTCATATCTGTGGTCCACTTTCCCACACAAGACAAGCCAAAAACTGATAGAGATTCAATACAGCTTTATAGACAGTGTCTTTATTGCCAGCATTCGGAAATAATCCCAATAGCATTGCCTCAGGCAGAACTATTTCGTCGTACGTCTTTATGACAGGACAAGTCGATACACCCAGGTCAACCAAGCAAGGAAACTTTTCCCCAGGGCAAATCATAAACCATCACAGAGGCTGTTCAACTGAGCATATTAAGAGGACAACACATACATTTACCAAGACGGACATATCTTAGATCATTCACTGGACGCTAAACAACAAAGAACCAATTTAGGGATTCTGATAACTTGCATATTTGATTTTGAAGTACACACATTAAAGATAGAGTATTTTTACCAATTCTATTGAATTCCTTGGGGATGAAAACATTGGATCAGCAACTTAAATCACGTCTTTACGTGCCCTGAGAGCTGAGAAATTCAAGATTCAAGGCGGTCGTAATTGAGTGTCCTGCTGTTTTTAACAGAAAGAGCATTAAAATCTCTACGTGCATGCAAATTTTCATACTTGTATTACATTTTGAACGAATCAGGTAGAAATTTCATCAAATAGACTGCACTGTATTGTGGAAACTCGTTTCGGACCCTCTGCGCCAAATACGTGCCTGTCACAACCATGCCATGTTTCAGTGTGTTGGATTCACTTGGGAGATTACAAACTACAACGACGGAAAAGCAGTACATAACCTGAGCTCAATTGACTTTCAGCATTTTGACTTAACTTTAGCACAGTATTGACACATGTGTTTGTTGTCTAACGCACTCATCAACTGTCGGCTAAATGACGGAGGCCTGTAAATAATTTAGTCTTGACCAGACAATCCAGTGATTGATGGTGTGAGCAACGATCAACGCTTACGGGTTACGATGACACATGATGAACCAAGTCACGACAGGCTGACCATCCGAGCCATTTAGTCGCCTATTACGACCAGCATACGTTGCCTGCATCGTGCAGAACCGTATATTGAGAACCACACACAACTATAAAATGAGGATTTACAAAATGGCCTTACTTACCAATATCCCAATAACCAATTCCAAATCCGGAAGTAAACACCATAGATGATGGCCTGAAGGTCATTTCCCTTTCAGAAGAGGTTAGGATTTCCCCCTCGCCAACATAGTGTCCGCGACCTAGTTTGAAAGTCCCACCGATCCAACTGATCCAGAATGGCCTTTTCTCAACACAGCTGAGGTATCGATGAAGCTTGGTACTAAATAAAACACAATTCTTGCATGCTTTTAATTTGCTGATTGAATTACTGGATACTCCAAGACATATCTCTGCCTTCTTGCTTCGGTCTTGTGAAAATAGGAGCACTAAGGCATCCATACAGCAACGAACCCGGATATATTGCCATTTCGTACCAAGGATGTCAATGCCGTATTCTGCGGTATTTATTTGCTTAAATTTGCCGGGTGTTTTTATGGTTACCATCCCTGATAATTGCCATGTTGCTGAAAGAAAAAATAATTGGAAATGATCATTGACACATCGCTGGAAAGAGAAACCAAAAAGTGAGAAACGAAACAGACGGACCATTTGATTTTATGCTCTTGGGGGGGGATGTAGTTTCTGTTTGGTGTGAATTGGGGGTGCCTGGGATTGAAGATGATTGCTCCCGAAATTGCTAGAAAAGTAAAACGTAATTTAATTGTATACTGGTATCTTGAAGCAGTACACTAAACATATCCTTCTCTATACATCCGTCCCTACAGACAATGTGTAACTCACCTGTACCTACCCCAAATAAATAAATGTTCTAAAAGCGTGAAGAAGTGACTGATCTGTGTATCTACTGATACAAATTCATTAACCCTGACTAAATAAGCATCGCCATGCTCAGTAGCCCAAAAATTGAAACCATGTTGATGTTACTGAATTTTACAGTACACTGTCCACTGTCCAGATTTTTAAATTCTCATTATGGTTGATTTAACATGTTTACATTTTTATCATTACTAGTGCATCCGTTTCATGAACACTTTGGGATACAATAATGGAACTTGACACAGTTGAAGGTTATGACATTAAGCAAAATAAAGATATGGAGCCGCCTGTCACCGGGTCATGAAACTAGTCTTGTAGTAAAAGGTGTCAGGTGATCAGAATTCTGGGGAATGTTTTTTCGTCCAGGTTTTCTCATGAAAACGCATCCTCAGGAAAAGGCATCCTCAGACTGAGTTCGACGATAGCGATAGAGTGAGTGAGTGAGTGAGTATGGTTTTACGCCGCTTTTAGCAATATTCCAGCAATGTCACGGCGGGGGACACCACAAATGGGCTTCACACATTGTACCCATGTCGGGAATCGAACCCAGGCTACCCGACCGCCCCCGATAGCGATAGAACGCAGGTCGTGGTTCCAAGGGAATTTAGAGATTGTGTTCTCAGTTTGGCTCCTGAGTGCTTGTTCGCTGCACATCTTGGTATGACTAAGACCTATAAGCTGGTCAGGTCTGATTATTTCTGGCCAGGGATGTACAGTGACTCAGGGCAATCAGTACTTGTTATAGATAATGTGCATTGATATGAGGTTCCCGGAAGCTATCCCATTACGTAAGGTGGTTACTGTAGCTGTAGTGACTAAGGCTCTCATTAAGTACTTCACCACGACAGGGCTACCTATAGTAATTCAGTCTGACTAGGAGTCGAATTTAGATTACTTCAACAGGTCCTGTTCTTATTGGAGGTACATCAGATCAGGTCTAGAGCATATTAGCCTGAGTCTCAAGAAGCTGTAGAACGTTTTCAGAGTTTGAAAAGTATGTTGAGGGATGCTAGACAAGCATCTCTAGGGTTTTCCCTAATTTGATTTCGACTATGGTTGTACTCCCAAATGCCCCTTGAATTGGTAAAAGACAAGTTGCTTGGCGATAAAAAATCCATCCGAGAATTTGCTAGGCTGTGTGTTTAAGATAACGGATAGGCTCTGAGAAGCTACCATTTAGCTGCGCAACACCTGTTTACTGCTCAGCGTAAGGCTAAGGCTCACTTTGAAAAGAAGGCTCTTGCTAGATAATTCAAAGCCGGTGACCAAGTGTTGCTTCATCTGCCCATCCAAAAGTCCTCCCTCAACGCTAAGGACTAAATCCTTACACAGTTAAACGCCAGGTTAATGATGTAGGGTATGTTATCAGTACACTTGATCGCGGAAGGAAAGAGAGAGATATTGTCACGTTAATTTGCTGAAGGCGTACCGAGCTAGATGTGCCGCACAGCCAGTCAGTATAGTCACCCTCAAAGAAAACGATGATCAAGAAGTTATGGAAGCCAAACTCCGTAACAGTGAAGACCTGGCTGACTTAGAAAACAAGCTACTGCATCTTCCAGGACTACAAAGAGAAGAATTGAAGACTGTGATTACTGATCACGTGGGCTTGTTTCCGGATGCTCCTGGTAGAGCTAAGGCCATGGTGCTAGACATGTACGTGGGCGACGCCAAACAAGGTCAAGCAGCATCCATACCGTCTCAACCCTCACAAGAGAGCCTTTCTGAAGATGGAGATCGACACCATGCTTCGACAAGAAGTGGTTGAGCCAAGCGCGATGGAACACAAGCCTTGGAACCAGTTTCGTGTCGGTGCCGCCCATGAGACGACTCACATCCCCTGCCACGCATCTACGACTGCATACACAACAAAATTCACGCCACCGATAGAACGAAGCTAGGCTTCCTTAAGGGATATTACCAGATACCACTCTCTGAACATGCGAAGAGGACTCTCTCAAAAGCCACCCCAGACGGTCAATACCAGTACCGCATGATGCCCATCAGCCTGAGGACAGTGGCATCGGTTACCACTCCTGGAAAGATCACATAGCCACTCTACGCCAGGTGTTGGATTGGCTCAAACTAGGTAACTTCTTGGTGAACGTAGAAAAGTGCAAGTCCGGCTATGCTAAGGTGACATTCTTAAGAAACAGGGTCGGAGAGGGGACTGTCGCGCCTGAGACAGCTTACTTGGAAGCCATCAGGAACTTTCCCAAGCCACAGACAAGTGCTACTGGGTATAGCAAGATATGACCGTCATTTCTGTCCAAACATCACCCATTCAAACTTTCTGAACACACTAGCAACACGGGATGTGGCGCTGTCCTATTTCAAGAGGATGTTAATGTTTTTGACCAACCGGTCAGTTATTTCTCCAAGAAGTTCAACCCACACCAGGTCAACTCTTCAAAAGTCGAGAAGGAAGCCTTAGGCTTAGTGCTGGCCCTGAAACACTTTGAGATCTACGTGAAAAAACTAACAGTTCTGTAACTGGGTTCACAGACCATAGCCCTCTGACGTTTATACACCGTGTCCAGGCACCGTGGAATGCACCAATCAACGTGTGTTGCGTTGGAACTTAATTCTTAACGAGTACAATCTCGAGATCAAGCATCTCAAAGGAACGGACAATATGTCAGCTGACTCTCTGTCACGGATGTGAATTCCTAGGTATGAACTATACCTTATCCAGCCTTCTATCGAACTGTGTCATTCATGAACATTCTCATGATCATGTGGATATATTGTACTGTGTATATATGTTTCATATATTATTCAGTCGATTTCTACATGTGTCTTTATGTAGCCAATTGTCTTAGAGTTAAAGGGTGGGGAGTCGTGTCATCGTATCATAGAACCACTCTTGTCACGGACTAGTGACCGCACCACTCCCCAGCTTTAATCGCCCTATTTCCGACACCAGTCGGCAAAAGCTGCGCTCATCATTGTACAGTGTCATTGCATTCCTTGTTAGAGAATTAATGTCCCTTATATTTTGTTATCTAGTGATTTATTGGCACACTCTTAACATGTATTGACTTGATGTATGTTATCTCATATATGTTTACTGCCTTATTCATGTGTTGAAAATGTTTTTGTGACTATGGTTTTCAAATATTTAAAGGTTTATCTAGTACTGAAAGATATTTTTTGCGTATTTATGACCATTTTCGCCTTCTCAATAATTGTATATGGCCTGTTGTATAAACTTGATGATGCCGTTGGATAGTAAGTACGTCAACTGGAAAATCAACTGGATGTGCCATTCCTTATATCAGCTAACAGCCCTGTTTGTGAAAATTTTCACCAAATTTAAATTAATTTTAAGACCGCATAGACCATAGAAGCGAATACAATATGTCTTGGTATCATCTCTTGTTTATTAGAGTAAGTGAGTGAGTATGGCTTTACGCCGCTTTTAGCAATATTCCAGCAATATCACGGCAGGGGACACCAGAAATGGGCTTCACACATTGTACCCATGTCGGGAATCGAACCCGGGTCTTCGGCGTGACGAGCGAACGCTTTACCTTACTGGAAGAAAGATGGTCTTAATAACTTACATAAAGAAATGCGAAAGTATCGCCGACAATGGGTTACTAGTGGTAAAGCTAGAGACAAAAACGATGCTGCCTATGCAAACTATAAAGAAAGTAAACGTCTCTTCCGTAAGAAACATCGTCATGCAAAACACCAGTTATCTAAAGATAAATTTAATTAAATATACGCGGCAGCAGAAGTAGATGTCAAAGAATTCTACAAAACGACAAAACGCTACAAACGCTATAAAGGTAATACTGAAAAGCTTGTCTATGGCACTCAAACTTGTTACGAGGGAAAGGATATTTGCAACCTGTTTGGACTGTATTTGCATACACTAGCTACTCCTTGCCCTGATGTTAAATGTGACTATGCACATGCTCAGAATGTTAAAGAGCGAATTGCTAATATTGAAACAATAGAGGATATAGATAACGACACCAGATCTCCACTGCATTATCCATTCACTTAAGATGAAATCCATTGTGCAGTAAAACGACTTAAAGTTTGAAAGTCGCCTGGTCCTGACGGTATTGTAAATGAGCATATAAAGAAGGCTGGTAGATCTCTGCTGTATCATATTGCCTTTCTATTTAATGCCATGATCAACTTTAAATACATTCCAAAATCATTTTCTATAGGTCAAATTCTTCCTATACACAAAGGCCATGGTAAACCAAAATATGACCCTGCCAATTATAGAGGAATAACAATGACGCCTGAATTAAGCAAACTCTTTGAAAGACTTCTTCTCAACAGAATAGAGTCGTGGGTAGATAATAACATAGAATTTCCCCATCCTTTGCAATTTGGATTTAGACGTCACTATGGTGCTGAAACAGCTGTACTTACGCTAACAGAAAATATTGCATATTACAATGAATGGATGTCGCCCGTATACTGTGCATTCTTAGATTACGAAAAAGCATTTGATCGGGTATGGCTTGATGGATTATTTATTAAACTGTATGATATAGGAATAACGGGTAAACTATGGAGAATATTAAGGCTCTCCTACAGCTCTATGAAATCATTTGTATGTTTTGAAGGATTTAAGTTGGATGCCTTCCCCGTGAATCAAGGAGTAGGTCAAGGTAGAGTAATGTCCGCCTGGCTTTTCGCGCTATTTATTAATGACCTCCTA